ACTCAATTAATCTTAAACTGCTTTTTTACTGCAACAAAATGCATTCAAAATTTCATCAGGTGCTCTTACAAAATATTCGAAGGTATTAATTGTTTAGCTTAAACGTCATTTCTTCTGCAAATTTTGATCAGCAAACGCACGCAACACGCCTAATGATACACGAAAATTTTAGGAGCGCACCTGCTATTGTGTCACCAACAAGTAGCCATGCAACCAAGCGATTAGTAAGCTTGGGTGATGGGACAAGCCTCGCACAACAACAGAACTAATCTGAGAAACCGGCGTGACTACTTATGTCTAAAATGCATCATACATCCTGCAATAATTAATCGATTAAATAGACACGTCTGTACCTCTACCAAGATCAAATCCAGGTTTGACAAAATCTTTTAATATGTATTATTTTTATACTCTATGATTTCAGTTGTCGTACTGCATTTACAGTGTTGACGTGAAAAAATAATTGCATTGTGGTTTGCATAAATAAAACTGGCTCGTTAAAACAATTCGAGTCTCCAAAAGCTTTGATAATTATGCCATGGCTCATTAATCATGGCGTTTAATACATCTACAAGATAATTTTCTGTCTTGAATATCCATGAGTTCTACATGCACGCATTCGTTAGGATAGCGCAGCTGGCATTAAACATACTAAAAACTGACCTGCTGCTATTTTAGCTTAAGATGTGTTACGGATGTGCACCACTCGAGGAAATCGTCAGATTGATATCCACCAGTCGTACATCGCTTGATGATACACATGAAAACGAACATAGCACATATTCGAATGGACGACACAATTGTCACAAACAATATGTATAAAAAGAGCTGACCTGATGCTTTGTATATTATGACGAGCAGTTCTGATTCACAAAGGGGTCTCAATGTTCACAAGCGAGTCGGCGTCTTGCGACTAATCTCGCATGCCATTTGCCCACTTTGAGCGATAGTTCGGTAAGGGGGAGCATATTGGCACGTAGGCGCAAATTGATAAGCGAACGAATCGCTGGTCAGAACAAAGTGTGCACAACCATTCGTATGGCAGTTGTCCAATGAATGGAAAGACCACTAGCAAACACGCGGTTTTATCACATGTCCTAGTTGGGTTTATAATGTGGGTAACACTATTCAGGAAATAAGTTGTACTTGTGTTGAGTATAATATTAGTTTGATACCTTTGCCCGAATGTGGTACCAGTAATGAGATTTGTTCGAAAAGTGTGTGGCTATATTTAGGTGGCTCCTAATGAGTCTTTAACTTTTGCGGCGGAGCCTTCGCCATATACAATAAACGAGAAATTAGACTCGAGAACCATTCATTGTCAAATTGTGTTGTTGTACGTTTTCGGAATGACGTCCATTTATCTCATCTCACCGACGAATTTGTACCTTCAACCATCTTCCTTTGAGGAACGTGGAAGACCATAAACAGCTGAGAGGAGAGGTGTTGATTTTGTGAACTAAGTCCGTCACGCGCTTGACGAGCTAACACTACCTGAAGGAAACGTACCACAACAATTAAACGGCAACAAAGAAGGGTGAAAAATAGCAAGGAAAGTGAGATCACAGCAGTGAATCTGCAATGCTCATGTAATGCTATCCACAACTGGCGATTTGCTACAATTATGTGGTAGCAATACAGTAAAATAAGCTTGTACGATAAACGAAGTGCCATCGTTGAAGCTTTCAAGGTGGTCCTCTTGAGAGTAGAAAATAGAGTGCAGGGAGGTATGGTTTTCACCTTAACCAAGCCGGTGCGAGCCTAAATTTTCAAGTGCTTTCACCCTTCGGAGTCGCTGCTTATGAGAAGATTGCGGATGTGACTGGCTCAGTCTCACCTGTGACAATTTAGGAAATAGAAGCGCAAGGTATATTGTAACAATTTGACTATTTAAAGGGGTTCAAACTTAACTTTTTTGATTTATGAATAGGGTGAAGGCTTATTAGCGAAACCCAAAGGCTCATTAGCAGCTCGCTATAACTTGTTTTTTTATTAATTTGGTAATCGTTTTATCTACATGACGCAAGAATTAAATTAATAGAAACAGCGCTTGCATAACAATACTGATCTGGTAACCGCATATAGGACAGTAACTAATATAGTACTGGGATGTAACGGTGGACGCGGTACTAGACGTAGAAAAGGTCACTTATACGACACTGATAATGAATCAATCTTTGTGATACCTAAAATGTTCAGATCTGTCGAGATGCTGGCTAATCACTAACCCACACAGGCAAACTAATCGAAAGCATTTCAGATTTATCATATACCCAACGTTTGTTCTAAGCGCGTCTTCGAGTGCATTGGCAAGTCAGCTTTTACATGTATATATTCAGCATCTAACGCTGAAGTGCTGCCTATCGTTACTAGAAAAGGGCGCCGTGAACGCCGTGTTGACAAAAGAAGCAGTGGCCTAAAGATTATTAAAAGGCAACTGATGATGTTATTTGTGACTGCTCCTTTTACCTTTTAGGAAAGCAAAAGCGAATATCATGCTTGGAAGCTCAATAACTATACTTGACTCAATAAGCATAGAAGTGGTTGAGCTAACCTGGCTAACTTGCCCCATTCACCAGTTTGTACTTCTACTTGTAATCCGACGTATAAATGAGCACCATCATCTGCGAACTTCTTGTGTGATCCAGCTATTTCCAGCAATACGTCCTGTGGACTCAATTTGATCCGGAATCTTGGTCCCGCTGACCGATCTCGACATCCTTTCCCTTTCAAATCGCCTGTGTCCGCAGGACCAGCAGTCGCCAACATTTTAGGTCGAATTTTTGTTCTTGACCTCTAGCGGTGTTGTACGCGTCCGATTGATCCCTCGTGCCTAATCTTTCAGTCAGCGCTTGCGAAGCGTCATGTTATCGATCTTCTGGTCATCGAGACGTGTTTCATTTTTATCCGTGGTGTTTTGGGCTCAATATGCTAGAAAGTTTAATGACGTTCTCTGTTAGATTGTGTGATACGTATCAACGGCATTTTTTTACGCAATCTTTCGTTCCTAGAGCCAGGAAAGAATCGTCGAGAATTATGATCTCACGGTACTTTTATAGAGGCTGTATGTGTCTTAGAATATAGCTGTGCGAATCAGACTAACCACGCCAATACGTGTATCAATTCCTCATTTTGCAGCTGCGCAATACTTTCTTGTTCAAAAGAGACCCGGTCGATCACGCTGCCTCCTTGCCACCACCTTCATATCGTTTAGATATTTACAAATCCTCACAGGTATTGAAACGTGCTTATGGATATTGTTGGCAGGCCCGCCCCACACCCGTCGGAGTTGTCCATTAAATGCACCTCCTCATTCCGATCGGAGCTCACTTGTAATCAACGTCAACCTGAAGCAATGAATTGCAGCCCTTGCATAAAGGCCGCCTGGTCAATGTTGCAATGGCAGAAACAAGCGTAAAAGGCGAAGGCAATAAAAATAGCATATGATTTTCAATATCAACGCGTCAAAATTAAAATTTTTAATTTTTCATCCTGAAATGTTTTTGGTATGCAATAAGACCAGGGCTTCTATAATCGTAGAGATTTGCATTAATTCCGATGCCGAATCTTTTCAGAATACCAAATTGAGGCAAATGCTAAACGGCTGGGGTTCGTTTCTTATTCGGCTTGGTCATTCTAAAAAGTCCTGTAAAGTAATTTAAAAGTAACTAAGAAGGACGTCCAACTGCGTCCACAGTGGATCTCGTTTGTTCCAATTTCTATCACTTTTTACTCACTTACCTGTTCAAAGCTCTTTTTGACGGTTTCGGTGCAATACAGGATAATGCTCTTCTCCAGTTCTTCCTTATGCTGTTGGGGTTCCATGCTGAGAAAGATGTCATTTTTAACGCCATCATATCAACATGGTCAATAGGTCCACCAAACATGATGCACCGCGCGGTCGCGAACGCTTATGGTGGTGCCTATTTACACGTTTAGTGACGCGCTCTTTGGTAATCTTGCAACTACAATTGCTATCACCGAGATATCTATACCGTCTGGATTGCCGCAGTTGTCTCTACAAGCAGCAAATACGCAAATTAAATTCGGACGCGGGGTTAGTGATCGTTGTTGACCTGGAAACGTGCAAAGTTTGGTGTTTGCGATCTCGCGAAGACCCCCCGCTAGTGTCGGGTGTGGGTGCCTAGACTAGAACACTAGCACTTCCCCAAACACGAGGTAATCGTGTTTGATAGACATCTCGCTCGCCACAAAGAGAAGATTTTGAAAGAGCTGCGGTAAACGGATTCCACCGTTTTGTTGCGCCTGATTCATCTGTCTAGCTCTATCGTTGATGTCCATCCAGCTGATTTCTGCAGCCGAAGATGACCGAAGCTAATAAGCCTACAGGCTCTCAGTCGTTAGCCGCTACTTTATCTTCCCTGGAATGCCACTTCAAGCATGTTTGCAGCCAGTGTGTTGCGACTATACAACACCATGGATATGTATTTCTAACAAATTGTACATCGTAGTTGAATCGCGAGAACTATTGCAAGAAACCGCTTTCGACGAGGGGGTCACTAAAAGTCAAATTTTGAAAAAAAAACTAGTAATTCGACGATGTTCAACAAAATGCGTTGGAAACGAGGACTTTTATCCCATACATTTAAGAACGACCCAGGCGAATGAAAATAAGCCCAGCTATTTAGCATTTGCCTAAATTAACCATGGCCTATTTTTCTCTTAGATAAAGTATTGTGAGCACGAATCTCACGCACTCGCGGTTCTATCGCTCAATTCTCTCTCTTCTAACAAAAAACCCAACAAGAGCTAAAAGTCGATTCGAACCAATAAAACAACCAACCAGTCAGCCAAGCAATCAAACCAACAAGCAACAAAAAAGGTGCTCTCGAGCATCGCTCCTGGCCGACAAACCCATGCTAACGAATACAACGTGAGCTGCTCTGCTCCAGTCGAATCAATCAAAGAGGCAGTCGTAACCGCGCCACGTCCTCCACATTCCCTGTGCCTGCCCTCGTGCTGTCCACCGCTGGCCCTCCATGCAGCTCTTTGCCGACTCGCAGACGCACTTTGCAGCCGTCTCGGAAGATGGCCGTCTCAAGCTCTGGAACGTCGCCAGCAGCTCGCTGCAGCAAGAGCTCAAGGAGCGCGACCACCTCAGCTACTCGTTCACGTCTCTCGCGTGGACGTGCAATCCCAAGAGCAAGAGCAAGAAACGAGGCAGCGGCAACGACTTGGGACTGGTCGCGCTCGGTGCTAGCAACGGCGTTGTCGTCGTCTGGGAGCTCGCAACTGGTCAAGTCAAACACACGCTGCAGTCGGACGCGAGCCATGGAGCCGTGACGGCGCTGGCGTTTAACCCACAAGGCAGCTTACTGTACGCCAGTAGCGCCAGTGACAAGTACGTGCTCGAGTGGAGCCTGAGCAGTGGCCAAGTTGAGCGCAAGTTCCGCGTCGGCTCAGGCGGTGCATCAGCCTTAGCAGTCTCTGGAGATGGAGCGATTCTGGCTGCAGGGAGCTCAGTTTTGCGCACATTTGATCTGGCGTCGGGTCAGAAGAGCAGGAAACTTGTCTCGGGCTTATCGTCTGCAGTGACACAGCTGCGATTTGCTGTTGCCGGGACGGGCGAACTCGAGGCGTCCAGGTTCTTGTTTGCCGCGACGGCAGGCGCTCGGTTTGTGAACATGTACGATCTGCAGCTGACAGAGCACGATGCGCCGGCACTGACGTTTAGTCTGCCGAGTAGTGCCGAGAGTCTCTTTGCTCGTGCTGTTACGGGTGGCACTGCGGCGTCAAAGAAGAGCAAGAAGCACAAGAAGGAGAAAAGCAGTGAGACGGCCAAACCAGTTGTGGATTTGCTGGTGGGAGCTACGACGTCTGCGGGGGCGATGTTCGTGTGGGTACACAAGTACCATCAAGCAGGCGATGCGTCTGAGCTGGCACTGGCCTCAAAGCCACTGCGGCCATTGCTGTCGACAGCTGAGAGTGCTGGTATTTTGCTGGCGGAGCTCAGTACAGAGGCAGATACGGACTTGAAAACACAAGTGCTAGTTGCCCGTGGATCGGTTGTCAAGCCGGTGTTTGAGAAGGTATCCCTCGTGGAAGAGGATGCTCCGAGTCAGTGGAAAAAGAAGCTAGAGTTTGCTGAGATCAGTGACGCTCTGCTGCTTTCTGCTGAACGCGCTGAAGTAGCTGCAGCAAACGGCAGTATCAAGCGTCAGAAAGTTGCAGCAGCTCATGAGGACGAAAAGACCCATGTACCGACGTTGAGTGAGCGCCGTGCTCTGGCTAATTCTATGACTGTAGTGGACGAAACGATTAGCTTTGAAGAGAGACCGGATGGCGACGCAGAAGAAGAAGAGAACGAGCTTACTTTGGCTGAGCGTGTGGAGGCTCTGCGTGAGCATATCGAGGGAGATGTGACTGCTGCTCTCAGCCGTGCAGAACGTGAGTCAGAGACTCCGGACAGCAAGGCTCTGGATAACAAACCGGATGCGTCGTCGCTTGCTAGTGTGCTGGAGCAGGCTTTACAAGCACGTGACAACGCTCTTCTCGAGTACTGTTTGCGTCTACGCGATGCCAAAATCATTGGGCGAACTGTGGCTCGTGTGTCGCCCTCCCGTGTGCTGGCGCTGCTGGAGGTGATTGTCCATAAGCTTGAACGGTCACCAAACCGCTTTTCACGTCTTTGTGTGTGGTTGCGTGCTGTCCTTCTGCACCACACGGCGTACCTAGTGGCCCAGCCTGATCTCGTGTCGAGTCTATCGGCTCTGTATCAGCTCTTGGAGACTAGACTGCAGGTGCACGAACAGATGCAGAAGCTGTCCGGCCGCTTGGCACTTGTACTGGGCCAGATTCAAGTCAACACAAACGTGACCGCTGAGCAGGAAGACGACGAGACTCGTGCCGCGGTAGTTTACCACGAGGGTGAAGAAGAGGTAAGTGGGGATGCTAATGGCGATGATGGCAGCAGTCAAGAGCAGGAGGACGAAGATGAAGACGAGGACGAAGGCATAGAGACTGAGGACGAGTGATGGGATTGTGGATGTATCAATACTTTCAATAGACCGGACCAACAAGCCTCGCGAGTATCCCGAGGTTCTTGTTTGTTATTTGCTTGTCATTTCGCGAGCATAATTCCTCTTCGAGCCAGGCCAACTGAGGCTATCACTAATGTTGTGCAGTCCACAGTATCTTGACTTTGGAGACAAGATTCGATCACAATCTACAAGTCATTCGCCTCTTCATTTAGTTGCACGCTGAGCACTTTCTAGTGTCTTTGACGTCTACAACTTGGTTTCAAGTAGCTTTGAGCTCTTGTTGGCACTCGCTCAAGTGACGTATATTTTAAGCAGTGCGAACGTCTCCTTCCTATAAAAGCATTTGACCATGGCAGCACAGAAGCGGTCGAGTTTCATGCAGGATCCACCCGCTTCGTACCCAATGCAAACTTTGAACTGCGAAACATGTCCGTGCGCAAGCTGTTGCATGTACTTGCTTCGTGTCGTGTGCTCTCGACATGCGAAACGCCGAACACGTTGCAGCTCCTGGCCACCTCAGACTCAGCAGGTTTCCGTGTCGATACAGGATGATGCTGTCATTGGTCGCTAGCTGTGTAAACTCACAACTCTATCGAGATGTCCAAACACTGCGCTCGCTTCTCCGTAGCGACTAGTGCAGCGCTCATACGTTTGTGATTAACGGCTCTAAGCCAATATATCACGACTGCGGCTTCGAGTGGAAATGGTATCAGGACTGCACATCAGCTCGCTTTTGGTCGTGCAACGACCTCACACGGTCTTCGAACATAACTGTTATTTCGGTCTTCCTACACCAATCGATTTTAATGCAGGTATCGCTTTTGCTACCGAAAGATCAGCAAAACGTGTTTATTGCGCTAAATCCGACCAAATTTCGACAATGGTCGGGCATGAAACCTCCGTTGTGGACGTCGCTTCGGCCGTTCGCACACGTCGCAGACTTCACGAGTGTCGACGACACCCCATCCTTCCGTTCGTCCGCCGTCCTCCCTTGTTGCAAAAGTGGAGTTGCGATTGGTCAAAAAGCCTGTCCAGGCTCTGTCACCTTTTTCTAGAAGCGTGTCCACACAATGTGAGCTGCTCGACCAGTCACTGTTTGAGTTCTGAGTCACGGTTGGAGCTCCAAGTCACTTGCAGTCGATGGCAATGAGGGCAGCCGCTCTGCGCATCGCGACAAGTCGCGCCCGGAGCGCTCCAGTACAGCGATCCAGTACAAAAACGCTCCCACATGGCTTGTCTGCACTGATGATCCATCCTGCGTCGTTCCATAGCACACGCAGCGTCAGGGAACCCTCGAAGCGCGACTTCTACGACGTCCTTGGCGTCGCTCGCGATGCGAGCAAGAACGACATTAAGAAAAAGTACTACCAGCTGGCCAAGAAACATCATCCGGATACGAACAAGGCGGATCCGGAAGCTGCTAAGAAGTTTGCTGAGGCGACGGAAGCGTGGGAGATCTTGGGTGACGACGACAAGCGGCAGAAGTACGACGCTTACGGGCACGCGGGCGTGGATGAGCAATCGGGTTTTGACCCTTCGGGTGGGTTTCAGGGACAGGGATTCGAAGACGTTTTTGGCGAGTTTTTCAGCAACCAGGGCTTTGGTGGACGTGCACGTCGCAGTGCAAATCAACCGCAGCGAGGCGCTGATATTCAGGTGGATCTGACGCTCAGCTTCATGGAAGCAGTAAAAGGCACGATGCGCGACTTGAACATTACTGCTGATGTTGAGTGTGACACGTGTAACGGATCGGGGGCCAAGCCTGGCACGAAGGAGAAAACGTGCCCGACGTGCAATGGATCAGGCGTGCAGATTATGCAGCAGGGATTTTTTTCGGTGGAGTCTCCGTGCCGACGCTGTCGAGGTGAAGGAACGATCATTGAGTCACCGTGTGGGACATGCTATGGAAAAGGCACGGTCAAGAAACCACGTACGGTTGAGGTGAAGATACCTGAAGGAGTGGACCAGGGAATGAACCTTCGACTGGCAAGTCAGGGCGAGCCTGGCCGACGCGGTGGACCAGCAGGACATCTCTATGTCGGTATTCACGTGTTACCGGACCCGTTCTTTAAGCGCCGTAAAACGGATGTCTATGTCGATGTGCCCATTTCGGTGGCACAGGCCGTTCTAGGAGGCACGGTTGTGGTGCCTACTTTGACAGGTGAAGTAGAGATGAAGATTCCGCGTGGAACGCAGCCAGATACAGTGTTGCAGATGCGCGGCAAAGGTATCAAGGAGCTCAATTCAAATCGCCGCGGTTCGCAACTAGTAAATTTACAGGTCTGCGTTCCAAAGTACGTACCTGGTCAAGCAAGCGGCGAAAGTTATGTGGGCAGTTGTTGGTCATGGAGACGAGCTAATATTTCTTGCTTTGTTTAGGAGTTTGTCACCGCGACAGGAAGAGTTGATGACGGAGTTTTTGAAGGAGGAAAACGATCGCGCTGAGAAAGGTGAAGATCCAGACAGCAAGCCGCACTCATTTACCAAGTCGGTGCGAGACACCGTTGATCGGATAAAGAGTTTTATCAAGGGCTGCACGACCGAAGAGTCGAAGTAGTCACGACGAAAGAGTGGCGCCATCAGCAGCATTCGAGAGAGAATGGCTAAAGCGTGTAGCGACAGCGACTGTCGTTTTTGATTTTTGCACAGCCTCTGCGTGTGCGTTGCCAAAGAATAGTGGGCTTCTGGTCGATACGGGTCATGACAGGCAGGACGAGAACGTCGGATGCATGTCATGCCCACAAGCACAAGGTTGCCATATAAGCTTAGACTGCAATATAGTGCTTGCTTTTCTTCAGCCAGCTGGGAGCAGCTCCGGGACCTGTACTCGACTGCTTACAGCAGGAAGACATCATCTTTTGGGGCCTTGAAGATGCGCATGTGCACTCCAGGCGCGTCCAGTAGCTCGTCGATCTGATGCGTGCATTCCTGAAATGCCTCACTCGCAAGCCACTCGTCGAATTTCTTCTTGGACTCCCACTACTAGCACATCATTTATGGCATACGTTACATTACGTTGCAACACCTGAAGTAACTGTAAATCACGACTGCAGATCACTGTGTTAAATCAACGACCTCGGAGAAGACGACGTATTTCGTGTGGTCTTCCACCTGCGCGTACGTGTCGATCGAGATGAAGCCTGGCTGAGCACGCACTGTGGCTTTGACGTTTTCCATGAGACGTGCCACGCGCGGTTCGTAGCCGCGGCTCATGATGCGCTCGCATAGCACCATAACGCGCCCTGATCTCATCGTGACGATGGGTACACACTGCAAAAAGGGCCTGATTCGAATACAGCACGGATTGAATGTAACGCTTAAGTACGCAACAGAACAAAATTGCAATAAATGTCTACAATGCAGCGCAAGCACCAATTATTTGATTAAACCTCTCTGAATCGTCGTAAATGGAGTCTCCCATCCTCTTCCGAGCCCCATGGGAACCAGAAACCCTGCTTGCACCACGGGAGAGCGTAGTTCGTGCCAGCGTATGTCTTGTCCAGTCATTGCTGCCGAATGGGACGATTCCAAACAGAGGTTTCAAGTGAGTTGGCGCTCAACAAAACGCATTGTTTGCAAACTGCACTACACTTCACCGAGATGGGTCTTCCACTTGCTCCTTACCTTCCACACTGAACCAATGCTGGATTCTATAGCTCAGCGTCCTTGGGTTTGGCTGTGAGATAGTGGAACCCCACCACGGACACCATGATCACCGCTCCCAGGCAGTTTACAAACACCATCAACGCCGCGTCCATTTCGTTGCTGCAAAACAAGCAGAAGCAACGTTCAGTCTTCATTCATTGCTGCTTTGTCACGCAAATGTCTAGAGACTGCATCTGAGGCGCCAGTAGCGCAAAACGCGGTCACGATGAGCACGAATGTACCTGTTCATGATGGTCCGTGTCGTTGTTTGCAATCGAGGAAGACGCGTCAGCAGATAAAATGTTGTGCGTAGGTGGACGATCTGCGTGGTCGTGTGGTGCACATAAATCTGACACAGTTTGAAAAGAACTCAAGACAAACACAATATGAACTGCAAGAGCAAGATAAATGGGATATCTGCATACTCGGAGTGTGCTAAGTGTATGGTAAAGAAGATGGCATTCGCTGTAGCGGAAGATGTGATGAGGATTGATGCATATCCTGTGAGTGTTAACGACGTTGCTTTTGGCGCAACGCTAAATCTAACAGACAATTGATACAGGAGGCCTCATTCGATGACACGCTCTGTGCAATACGCAGTCACCTCGGTCATCAATGGCATCAAAGTGCACATGTACATGAACGTGGTCAACCGCTCGGTCCAATACGTAGTCAAGTTCTCGGCCATACCCGTTATCTGTGGGAAGTAGTATGCGCAGTAGAAAGACGATTAGATTCTGTATTCACATTTTATGTCTTCTCTTCTACCTGACACTTTTCCAAAGCCATCCACACCACCCATTTTGCTACGCAGCCGCTCTGCCTTCCTATCTAAACGAATGACGCTAATCGACACATCGCGCCGAATCTCCAATCCACCAAGGTAACAAATCCCTTGCTTTCCTACACTCCTCCTCGAGTGCGTTTTCGTTTTCGTCTCTTCCTTCTTTTCTCTCTTCCTCTCTTCTCTTCCTCTCTCTTCCTCTCCGATCCTTTTTGGACGTTGCAGACACCCTTGTCCTTCATCTCCTCCATACTCGATCTCCTTCATCCTGAAGCTCCTCACGCGTGCCTCCACCACACCCATACCCTGACACAGCCATCTCGCGCATCCAGCTCTTCATACGCATCACGCTCTTACTCGAGCCGCATCAGGCTACGCATCGCCGCCAGCTTGTTTGCATCGACGGCCTTCGTCATCAGATCCGCTATCATCAGTTCGGATCGAACGTGCTGCGCCGTGATGATCCCACGACGAGCGAGGTCGCGCAGATACTTGTGCCGCACGTCGATGTGCTTGGCCTTGATCGACGAGGCTTCGCCTTCGATCTGACTGATGGCTGCCTGGTTGTCCACGTGCATCAGCATAGGGACAACCGGCGCCATGCCCACTTCTCCGAGCATCTGGTGCAAGCCAATGAGCTCGCGCGCAACCTCCGACGCCGCGACGAATTCGCCTCCATCGTCGAGAGACTCACTCCGCCCTGTCTCTTCGCGGTCCATGACACCGCCATCCCATTTAGAAGCACGACGCCTCCAGTTAGTGACTTCCGGTCCGCTTTGTCAGCCGCGAAGTCGGCATCGCTATAGGCTTCGAGACGCAGCGCGTCTCGGCTCGTTCGCTCTGGCGCCATCTCGAGCTTGAGCATCGCTGTCCCCTTTAGGTACCGAGCAACACGCTTGGCGAGCTTCCAGTCGAGTACCCGCGGCGCATGTGTCTGCCTAGTTGCTTTATGCACTGCAAAGGCAATGTCAGGCCTTGAGCACCGTGCGACCCACAGCTGGCTCCCGACGAGGGACTGGAACGCGTTGATGGTTGCACCACCGCCCGTGCTCGTTGTTCCAAGAAGCGCGGCGTCGTCGCCTACGACCTCGTAGCAGTCACCTCCAATCGGCGTCTTCGTCGGATTCGCATCGCACATCCCATGAGCACGCAGTAGCTCCTTGATGGCCTCCTCCTGGTCGATGCGGTACGCGCCGTCGCTCCCGAGTTCCACTCGCATTCCCAGGAACTTGTGGACATGGCCGAGATCCTTGATTGACAGCGACGCCAGGCTCGCGAAGAAGCTCTCGACTGCCGCGACGCTCGTTCCCGTCGCCAGCAAATCATCGACGTAGACGCCAACTACGACCAGCTCTTCGCCGTCGCGCTTGTGGTACAGACACATGTCTGACACGCAGCGCACGTACCCCGCATCGCTGAGTCGCGCATGGAGCAACTGGCTCCAGAGGCGCCCGGCTTGCTTCAGCCCGTAAAGGCTTCTCCGCAGCTCCAAGACGACCTCGCCTGGATGCATAGCGCCAACATTGCGCAGAGTGCTCTCTGACACAGTCATACCGCGTGGCACCTGCAAGCAGATGTCGAGATGTGCTTCCTTCTCGGCACGCACGTACGCGTTCGGGATGTCTCCATGCTTGGCCGGCACGCCCCAGGTTGCTGCGAGCGCCAGCACTACCTTTGCCGTCGAGATGTCCATCACTGCGGCAAAGGTCAGGTTGTAATCGACGCCGAGCACTTGCTCATTGCCACATGCGACAAGCCTCGCCTTATATCGCTCGAGCTCTCCATCGGCCCCTGTCTTGGTCTTGAAGACCCACTTGGAGTGGAGAGCGTTCACGCCCGGGCTACGCTTCGTCACGCGCCACACATCGTTGCTCTCCAGAGCGGCGATCTCTTCTTGCATCGCCGTCTGCCACTCCGCGCGCTTAGAGCTCCGCATGGCCTCGCCATAGTTGCATGGGTCGCGCTCGAAGGCTGCGTTGACCACCTCGTCGCTTGCAGATCTCTCCTCCTGGCGCGTAACTGCTTGCTTGCGCTTTGATGCGCTTCGTGTACCGTGCGCTTGTCGTGACCACGGCTTCTTACTCTTCTCGTGAGCACCGCGATAATCTCGCGCTCGTATATTGTCATCACGGGTCGCCACTACAGCATCTCCATCGGCTCGATCGCCAACTTCCAGCGCACGCTGCAGTTGTGCGTCCTGCGCATCCGAGAGCGTGGAGATATTCTTCACATGTTGTGTTACAACCACCTTGTTCTCTCGCTGGAGAACAACCTTGTACCCCTTTGTCTCCTCGCTGACGCCCACGATGATGCCAGTCTGAGAGCGCCGCTGTAGCGAGCTCTTGCGCGGGTCCCGGTAGACGCTACGAGACGACCCAAAGACGACGATGCTGCGCAGATCCGGCGACTTACCCGTCAGCACCTCGATAGGCGACGCTCTCTTTGCATTGGCTCGCGTCGGGCTGCGGTTCAAGATGTGGACGGCGTACTGCACCGCGTCGCCCCAGAACTGCAACGGTAGCGCGCTCGCGAACATCATGCTGCGTGCGAGGTTTAGCACCGTGCGGTGCATCCTCTCTGCCTTGCCATTCGATGCCTGGTTGCGAGCTTCCGACACTTGGCGTGCGACACCCGTGCGTTTACAGAACAAGTCGACGTTTGCATACTCGCCTCCTCCGTCCGTCCGCAGAACGTGGACCTTGAAGCCGAAGAGCTTCTCAAAGTGGACGAGGAAGGCTTCAAACTGCTTCGCCGCCGCGTCTTTCGTGCGCGCAAGGAATACTCGACAATAGTTCGATTTATGGTCGATAAAGTTCACCATATATCGATTGCCGAGGCGATCCTGCGGCGTCATGGGACCCTTAAGGTCCGAGCAGATGACGCCGCCGATCCTGTCGATTGGCGAGTTGGTGCCGCTGTCTTGTTGTGACTGCGTGTTGCGCGTCTGTTTGCCCTCGAGGCATGATACGCATGCCATGCGCTTGTTGCTGGTCAATCGAATACCCGATGACGGATCTCGCGCCATACGCTCGATCGTATCGAACGCGAGGTGGCCAAGTCTCTGGTGCCAGTGCAGCAGCGAGGCTTCGTGCATGTCATCCGCATCACCATCCATCGCGCGCGCTTCGAGCGCAGCCACGATCGCATCTCCAGCTCTGTGCCTCTCGCGTGTCGCTGTCGTCTTAACGTATAACACGTTACTGTCAATCGCTACGTCGAACACGACTGTACCGTCGCTGCGCCGCGCTAGCGCTCGTTTGTTGCCATCGTACACGAGGGCAAACCCTTTGCTCTCCAGCTTCCCGTACGAGACGATGTTCTTCGCCAGACGTGGAGCAAGATAGACTTCTGTCAGAGTCACAGTCACCTTCACACCGCGCGCGAGGACCTCAAGGCGCACACTCCCGACACGCGTCAGCCGCAGTGACTCCCCATCTGCCATGGCGATCTCGTAGACGCAGGCGGTCGAGTCGATCAGCAGCGACTCATCGTTCACGAGGTGCCTGCTCGCGCCACTGTCAAGTATCCAGTCGCCTCGATCGATGCCAATCGCATCATTTGCAGCTAGCACGAATCCGCCCGCGTTGTTCGCAGCTCGCACTTTATTCGCACGAACCGCTTTGCCTCGCGATTTCTTTTTCTTCTTGCTTTTGGCTTCTTTCGTGCGAGCCGCTGACCCTTTCTCCATGAGCGCAAGTACCATATCGCCGCTGACACTCGTGTTTGTCGTTTCATCATCAAACACAACTCTTGCCTTGCATTCGGAAACGACGTGCCCCGTCCTCCCGCATCGGAAACACGTTCGCGTGTCTTGACGCTTCGTCTCAACATGCGCCGCAACGACCTCGCGACCAACCGCGCCACTGCCGAGCTCGATAGACTGCGCAAAGTGCGCCAACTCCTCAGCGTGGCGCAGGTAGTCGGACCGCGTTGGATCGTACTTAGCGCGCATGACATTCATCAGGTCTGGCGACGCATGATGGACGATGTTGTCGAGCACAAGCGAGTCGGCGCCACCGCGCGCGTCGCTGACAGCCACCATGTAAAGAAAGTGCGCAGCCCAGGTGCGTCTCGCTTCTTTCCTTGTCATGAATAGCTTCATGGCCTGACTCGCCGTGATGGTCGTCTTGAACGTTAGGTGCAGCTGCTCCATGACGTGCTCGAGTCTTGGCTGCTGCACCCACCAAGTGTCGACCTGTTTGTGGTAGTAGCGCTCCGCCGTACCAGCCAAGAAATGCCCGAGTAGGTCCACCTTCACGTCCTCCGTCCAGGAGAAACCGCAAGACGCCTCAGCGAGGCTCACAGCGCGCATGAAGGTGCGTCCCCAGTCAAAGAACCCGCTCCCAAGCCCTTTGTTACGCTCCGTCCCATCGAACTTGCGAATGTTGAGCTTTCTCTGACTAGCGCTCGGCATTCCGTAGTGTCCGATCGCTGTTGGGATAGCTTCTTGACGCGGCGCGACCATGGGCTCGGCCGATCGTTCCGTCATGCGATGCTGGGCTGACGGCTGTCCACGCGGCGGTGCGAGAGAGGCGAACATCGACTCACCGTTTTCTGGCCAGCGCTCCCGCGCGCGATGTGCTGCTGGTTTCTCCTCCAGCGACTTAAGCGCGTCGATGGTCATGGGGCGTCCACGCATGTTCGCTCCAAGCTTGGATGCAAACATGCCGCTCTCGACAGCTCCAAGCATCCTCTCATCTTCGTCCCGGACGCGCTGCGAAGACTCGAGCTTCGACAGGCGGTCGGTCACTGCGGCGAGGGCCGCGAGGATCTTGTCGTCGGTTGCCTCGCTCCTTTCGCGAGCGGGCGGTACTTCGACGACTCCCGGCGTGTCCCCCGATGAGGGCACACGCGCTGGCGAGACACGCCCTGGCGCAGCTCGCGCGACACCTCCTGGTGTCTTGGGGGTCGCTTCAGTTTCTCTAGCCATTGGGCTCATAACCTGTGGGAAGTAGTATGCGCAGTAGAAAGACGATTAGATTCTGTATTCACATTTTATGTCTTCTCTTCTACCTGACACTTTTCCAAAGCCATCCACACCACCCATTTTGCTACGCAGCCGCTCTGCCTTCCTATCTAAACGAATGACGCTAATCGACACATCGCGCCGAATCTCCAATCCACCAAGGTAACAAATCCCTTGCTTTCCTACATTATCTACGTTCTTCATATTGCAAGCGATTGTAGTATACTAAAAAGCGAGACAGTGGAGCTCGTCGCTCTCTTTCCAATATTCAACTTGGTACAACACATTTGTCGCCACGGCGGTCACACGTTTACTTCAGCCACTTCATTTCATGACACCACTTTTCACAGCTACAATTCTGTGTACAATACCTCAACGCATAACTAGGATACGAGTATACCCCCGACGTCTTCCACCTTAAAAACTGTCCAATCACATTCGTCTGTGTATACGCCGTTCCACCACCACAACAGACAGCGAGAGAGCGAACGCAAACAGCGCTTCAATTGGACGGGAACGACCGATGCTCCTGCCCGTACGTGACTCGACGAATCTCACTCCCTGTCCCTGTCTACTGAAGCTTCTCACCACTTCTCTCGTGCTCCTTCCCTTCTCGCTGTCCATTCTGCTCTCTCTTGTCTTCTACCGTAGGTGCTCGAGCGCTTTGCTGAGTTTGGGTGGCAATTGTTTGTCGAACCTGCCGAGACGTTCGAGTTCTTCTCCGTCTCTGGTATCTTCCAACGTGAAAATGTGGACGTTTCGCTGCAGGCTGAACACGCTGGCGCTCAGCTTCTCGTGCAGCGCTCTGCGCTCTTTGACGTGTGTCTCCAGAGCGGCTTGGCCCATCTAATCGTAGCTTATATCCGTGCTCACGAGGCTCCGGCAGATCCTCAAAGCGTCTTTGTTGATGCAAAGACTTACGTCTTGAAGGAGCCAATTGCAGTGCAGCAATGGGTGCGTCGTCGTCTTGAGGCGGTGGAGCACGACGTGACTCTATTGATAGCTCACGAGCAAGAAGATCGCGTCCACGAAGCACCAGACACGGTAGTAATAGAAGCCATGGACGGTGCATTGCGGAAACTGCATGGCTTGCGTACGGTCCTGATAGCGTTGCTCAAGCGATTGAAAGAAGGCTCTCATCAAGCCGCTTGTTACACCACAGGCGTTGATGCTGAAGGCAACGTGCGAAAAGAGACGGAGCTCGCCCGCCTGACGACCCAAGGCATTCAAAGCATGTTGCACTTGCTCTGTCGCACACATAGCATGGCTTGTGCTTGCGACTGTATACTTTGGCTACATGAGAACAATGTGGCGGGTGAGTGCGATATGTACAATGAATTCTACAGCGAAGCAAGATCGTTGCGCGTTACGTACGGTGAACAGTTTGAAGAGATTTATGGCAACAAGCTGTCATGTAGTAGCACCCTGAAGGAGCCGGTGTTGTTAATTGAGCACGTGATGAAAAGCGCAGGTATACCGCTTGACGAACTTGGTGGAAGCTGCCCGCCGACACGTTTGAGGCAGCTACTTGAGGTCTTGCAAGCATCCACCGTACAGGAAGATGTTGTTCAGTACTACGGAGACGAAGTTGACAGCGAGCCGATTGAAGAATATTTTCGGGTACGGGTGGCGTTGCTGTTGTATTTTTGTTTGGACAGGGCCTATTTGAGTGTGTGGAAACACCGCATCGAATGTGGCGCTCAAATTGCAAAGAAAATGCGTGCGTTTGCCGACTCGTTTGCGGCACAATTGAGCGTGCGAGACGATATTAAGTTGACGTTGCTCGCTTTGTGGCTGGTGGAGAATGCAGTCGTGGTGAAGACGTCAAGCGACGATGAGGTGGCGGCTATTTACGAAAATGCTGTTGGTCTTTTGCAGTTGTCGAGTGCAACGCATCTTCGTCAAACGTATGATCAGGACATCGATTTGATTCTTTACTTGCTCGAGACATTAGTCCACAGGGGTGAAAGGCTTGTTGCATGGAAGGTGTGGAACACGTTTAACTTCGATCTTACACAGTCTCCTCCCGCTGCTACGGACTTGATGGTTGTCATATCGCTGGAGCTGGATTCGTGGGAGCGTGCGCTGTCTTTGATACGCAGTCAAAAACGTCCAGACCTACTAGATGTGCTATTTAACTGGTTGATGAAAAGCCATCGTCTGAAAGAGATAGTTCAGTGCGTGACCTTCCTACCTGCAGAGGAAGAGCTGTTTCACACGTACATGATGGAGAGTAACGTCACAAAAGATGAAGATATTCTCCGAGATGAAAACATCAAGCGCGTCGACTTCCTCGTGATGTACTATGTTTTAAGAAATCGGCATCAGCAAGCCTGGAAGGTTCACCATACACATCTGGCGATAATTCGAGCCATGTCTCGTGGCGATACCGAGATCGCGATGGCTACACTAAACCAACCAAGTTTGCGAGTCCGGGCAGCGTTACTCTCGAATATGTGCGCCGAACCTCCTTCAGAGTCGAGCTTGCACCAAAACATTGACCTTAGTGCGCAGATGGAAGGACGGCAGCACTTTACTAATTCTGCTTTGTTTGAAAGTGATGCGATGGAAGACGTGTCCGATCCTGACACACCGGCATTGGCGACATCAGCTTCAGTGGACTCGTGTTCTACTGAGGTCCGTTACGACGAAAAACGAGTTGCATCGGCGGGCGCTTTTGTTTCTGCTCCAACCGACCACTCGACACATTCCAAAGAAATGGCGGAAGCTGGTGAGGTTGATTACTTTCCAGGTATGTTTTCGTCTCGACAACCCACTGGTACTCCAACTCGATGTGTTAAAGCATCATCACCTCTTGTGACTGACGAGAAGACATCGACACGATCAAAAGACAAAGGAAGAGAGAAAACAACTTTCGGTGATATTAGTGTCGAGTCCATCGACTCGAGCACGGACGTGTCGTTGAATTTGTTGACCACGCCGAATCCCAGGGCCACTGATCCTACTGGGTCACAGGATGTTGGGGACCAAGCAACGAAGTTTGGATCGTCTCTGGCGAAGGCTTCCAGTGCATCTTCTACCCCGCTGCAGTCTTTTATGTCTCCGTTCGGCGGTAAGAAACACTAAGCCATTGCGTGAGCACTCTAACCCTGTGCGTGCTATTTATGCTGACTGAGAGACGTACTTTAATTCGTTCATGCAGATCGTCGCCCACTTGGTACACCGCCTGTTCGATCCAAGATCCATCCCACGTTCGCTTTCACATCTTTGACCCCACCTGCCCCGAACGTGGCAGGCTCTACAGATGGTGGGACACAACACGCGATTGTGATCTCGGAAGCGAACGCGTCTTACTAATGCTTGTTTGTCGTCGTTGCTGTAGACTTCTCGCTGAAGCCACACTACATCGACGGAACGAACAGCAATAGCTTTCCTGGCGAAACACAGGACCATACCATGGTGACCGCTGATGCGCGTGGGAACCGTACGGCGCAGCAGACCTCGACGGCGGCTCCTTCCACTCCAGACTCCGATGCTATCATGGAGACCCCGGAACGGTATCAGTTTGTGCGCGAGCTATCAACGAGTTTACGTGGAGAGTCTGAATACATGACGTCACGGGCGACAAAAGAACAAGTAGAAGGCATGTTGGAGCTCGAGCGGGTTGACGACGAGTTCAGCACGCCCGTCTCCCGTCCAAAAGGACAACGAAAACAACCAGCGAGTGTCCCTGTGCGTCGCAACCCGCGTCGGTCCACCCGTCAGAAGTATTGACATCCCGTCGCAGCATTGCATATCGCAACAGGGTAGCAATGTCTGGTAGGTGACGTGACGCTGACTGAAAACTTCATCCAAGCTCTATCGACCCGAGCTAGAATTTGTTCCTCGGTGCTGATGGAAGATAAAGATGAAGAAGAAGTGACTATTGAATTACAAACAAGAGAAGCAGCAGCAGATAGATCTTCACGTGAACCGTGCGGATATCTTACTCACTTGAGCTTCTCCTCGTGATCGTGATTGTACTCACCACTGGTTAGGACCTCCACGATCCGTCCTTCTGAGGGCACAAGTACTGGTACACCGTACCAAATCGGGTACTCGACAGAAATTTGGTCACACACGAGACTACCGCGCTCAGTGTCGTAGCGCAATGGGTACTTGGAGATGGGACACACCAAATGGTCCATGGCGCTCTCGTCCACTAGCGATGCCGGTTGATCGAAGCGCGAGACCGTCGCGATCATCCTTCTCGTGAGCAATAGAGTCCCTTTTGGACCATCGCGACGAGACACTTGCGCGACCAGCAGCCGCACTCGACTCGTAAGGCGTCCCACGCTCTTCATCCCAGATCCGCTCGTCGCTCTTTTGTTGTGATCAAGCGATCGATGAGTTGGAACTAAAGCGAGCAACGTGCAAATCAATGAGCTGTAGGAACCCACGCTTGTGCTGTGCTGTGATTTGTGGAAATTCAGAAGTGGCTACACCTTGCGTCGAGAAATCAGACAGACGATAGGTACAAAAAAGATCATTGACAATAAAATCAGGAAGAGCGGAAATGGGCAGGAAAAAGTCGCGGACGCCGCTTCTTTCTGAAGATCTGGAGACCACGGCGTCGGAACGACTGCTCCCTGGTAACTACCCACCACCTATTGTAGTACACTATACGTATACCAAAAAGCAAGTATCTACTTCCCCCCTCCCTGTTCACTTACGTCTCTCCGTATCGATTAGAACGAAGCTCAGACGTCGAAGCTCATCGCCTGGAGCGGCACGAGAGTATCTCAATACGTCGCCAACGCAACAAGTCACGCAAGATCTGGTGTGCCATTATTGCCTTAGTCTCGGGCATTCTTGTGTTCATTGCGGTTCTCGCCATTCTGCGCGCTGTCGAGGACGCGAGCCACCTCGTGCCGACCAAGCGACTCGTGTTTCCGACCCAATATGAAGCCAGTGTAACGTTCAAGATGCCGTATATGGACATGGTCGAGCCCTTGTACGTCCACGTGGACGAGGCGAAAGGGCTGCAGAAGCTGAGCTACTATGGCGGCACGGACGTGTACATTTACAACACGAGTGGACACAGCTACCAGATCTTCCCAGTCATTCGCCAACGCACGTGCTTCAAGTCTGGACCCGAGTCACTCCAGCACATTTTCCCCAACATGGACCGCTTTGAGCCCCAGCACGGCGTTTTACTCGTTGAAGGGCGGCCGTGCCTTAGCTGGAAGTTTACGACAAAGCTGCATGAACCGACATCGGATGGGTTGCTGGGAGAGTATACGCTATATGTCGACCAAAAGACTGAGCGACCTGTGCGATTCCATTACGTTGGGCGCAACGGTATGCTGGGTGGCAGCCATATTGACGAGTACAGCTTGGACTATGTCTACGTTCGCGAAGGACCGGTGGATGAGGACGTATTTGCGTCGCTACCGGCATCAATGAATTGCACGGAGATGCCAGGGGACGATGGAAGTCTTGCCCGTAACCCGAAGCAAGATGTGCGGATTTCCTGCCAGAACGCTCCGGGGTGGTTGACGCTGTTCTTACATCACATTGCTTGCTGCTGTTTCTATAGATCTCTATGCTTATGCCGGAAGGCACGTCCACGAAGAAAGAGGTTTTTGACAACTACTCGGCGATGCATGGCAAGACATACAACAACACGGCTGAGGCTGTTCAGCGCTTAGCGACATTCCATCACAACCTGCGCTTCATCAATGCAGAGAACCGCAAGGTATGACAACGCGAACTTTATGGCAGGAGTAGTATCTGAAGCATGTTGGACCCACCTGAAGGTCTCATACTTGTTTTGCATGTCAACAGGGGCTGCCGTACCATTTACGCGTAAACCATTTTGCGGACCTCACACACGAAGAGCGACAGAAACTCCACCGACCGTCGCGCGTCAAGCGTGCAAAGAACAACGGAGCTTTGAGTATGCACAAAATCTTGAGCCTCGAAGATCCGGGAGACATTGACTGGCGAGAGAAGGGAGCTGTCACACCCGTGAAGGACCAAGGCGCCTGTGGATCTTGCTGGACGTTTGGGTGTGTCAGATTGATGCTTTTGGTTTATCTGTTGTCTCAACCCGCCTCACGCTTATGATGTTATTTCTGATGTCCAGAACGACCGGGGCATTGGAGGGGGCGTTGTTCGCTCAGCAGAAGAAGCTGTTTAATATGTCGCAGCAGAACTTGCTGGACTGTTCGTACGTGTGGCTACCTGTGCAGATTTGCACTGCACTCCAAAGTGCGACTTGGACCTAATTTTTGCTTGTTGGTGACAGGTGGGACTTTGGCAACCACGCGTGCGACGGAGGGCTGGATTACCAGGCGTACGAATGGATCATGGCAAACGGCGGGCTTGAAACTACTGCGACATATGGATCATATCGCAACGCGCCCGACTACTGTCACTTCAACGCAAGTAACGCTATCGGGCGGATGAAAGGCTTCGTGAACGTAACGAGTGTGGAAGCGCTGAATGACGCACTAGCTACTATCGGCCCGCTATCCGTGTCGATTGACGCAGCACTGCCGTCCTTTTACTTCTACGGCGGCGGATTTTACGACAACGTGGAGTGCAGGAGCGACTTGGACAGCCTCGACCACTCGGTGCTTGCTGTGGGTGTGACCACGCACAATGGACAGAAGTACACGTTGGTACGATGACGATGCGGACTTTCTTGATTTCGAGTTGCTACTGATTATTTTCAATGCGTGAGCAGATCAAGAACTCGTGGAGCAGACACTGGGGCGAAGACGGCTACATCAAGATTACGCAAAAGGACGATCTCTGTGGTGTTGCTGCGGCCGCTACGTATCCCGTGCTTGCCGACTAAAGACAGACATTCGTCAAGGCATTCAGCATAGCGGTGCTCATTCTGTGACGATGGCAAGTCAAGCAAATGTTGCGTATTGATTACGCCGTCTACATTATCTTGCAAATTTGGTAAAATTACTCTCGGGCACGATATCCTACCAAAGTATCTTCTGTGGCAATCAGTGTAAATTACGCAATCGGTGCTGTCACGCCTGACGCGAATTCGTTTCCAGAAGTTGATTTCTAGGACATTCTAAGTACGACCCCGACTCGGTCCTCTGATCGGGATGCCGATCGCTCGACCACCAGCTCGTCTGCCTCTTTCCGAGATACTGTCTACCTGTTTGAGGTGGACAGAGGTAGCTGAGTGAGAGGGTGTTGCCCAATCAGGGGCCATTATTGACTCAACGCAAACACTTTCTTCCCTAAGCGGCGCTCACGCCAGACACATCAGTCCTTTCTTTACCCATTGTTTACCCGCAGGGGAGGATGAATGAAGTAGTGGTCAGCGTGGCTGTTGACGCGACACCTAATTTGATTGGCTCGCAATCTGAAATCCGCGAACATTCGGACCTCCATTCTTTTTTGTCTAGTTCTGGCTACCAATTTGCCCCTGCTCGTCGCGATAAAGTATACGAGGATTCACAGCCGACCTTCCTGCAACCTCACCAAAGATCTTCATCTTACTTCGACGGTAATTTACTCCACAGCGAGCCAAAGTCCAGTGAGCACCACGACGACAACGACACCTGTTCCAGTCCCGACCAGCCATGGTGTCTACACGTAGTCACACGACCTCTAGCTCTCCTTCACCGGCTGCTGATCGTGCACTGAAGCGAGGGGCTGTCAGTGACGCGTCCAAACGTCCTAATAAAAAGATGACGACGACGAAAGAGACGTCTGACAGTGCTACTTCTGACGTGGCGGTCGTGGGCGCGTGTGTGACGAAAGAAGTAACGCTAAGAGATCACGAGGAGAAAGAAGTGGCGTTTGTGGAGACGTTTCGCGATCGTGGGGTGGTCTTTTTTATGTTCCCACGAGCCAATACGCCTGGGTGTACCACACAAGCTTGCGGTGCGGTACCCAAAATGATCGGTTGCTCTTAAAGCAGTACACAAACACTCATATTCCGTTTGGGTTATATCTTTTTGATCATAATGCTGTTTCACAGGCTTTCGAGACAATGTCAAGGCGATAACCGACGCAGGGTTTACAGTCTATGGACTGAGTCGTGACTCGCCCACGGTTTTGAACAAGTGGAAGACGAAACAAGAGCTTCCGTTCGACCTCCTGAGCGACCCCGACATGGAGCTCATTTCGTACTTCGGCAGCTCCGTTGGGGGCACGAAGGTGCAGCGCTCGCACGTTGTCATACTTCAAGGCGGCATCGTGGGCGATATTGCTGCCAAGGTCTCTCCTGCGGACAGTGTTAGCCGTGCTGTTAAGTTTGTTACGGAGCATAGGGTAGGAGCTGCTAAGAAGGAGGAACCAGCTGCGGAAGAGAAACCAGCAAAGGAGGAGGAACCAGCTAAGGAGGAGGAACCAGCTGAGGAAAAGGAATCGGTAAAGGAGAAGGAAATGGCTGAAAAGGAGGAGGAAATGGCCAAAAAGGAGGAGGAAATGGCCGAGGAAAAGGAATCAGCTAAGGATGAGGAATCAGCCAAGGATGAGGAATCAGCTAAGGATGAGGAATCAGCTAAGGAAGAGGAACCGGCTAAGGAAGAAGAGCAAGCTTTGGAGAAGGAATCGGATAAGGATGAGGAACCGGCTAAGGAAGAAGAACCAGCTATGGAGAAGGAATCGGACAAGGACGAGGAACCGACGAAGGAAGGGGAACCAGCTAAGAAAGAGGAACCGGCTAAGTTAGAGGAGCCAAGAACGGGTGATAAAGCAGCTGAGGACGAGAAGCTGGCGAACACGGACAAGCTTGTTGAGGGTAACACTGTTGCGTGTGACGTGGAGCTGCAGACGGACGCATCTGCGACGGTGAAGGTGCAGGACCTTTTTAAGACCCGTGGCGCTATCTTTTTCATGTACCCGAAAGCAGACACGCCAGGCTGCACAATCCAGGCTTGCGGCTACAACGACAACCTAGAGACGATAAGAGCTGCTGGTTATGATGTTTACGGACTGGGCGCCGACTCTACTGCCGAGCTTTCGGCATGGAAGGAGTCGCAGAAGTACAAGTATACGTTCTTATCGGACCCGCAGCACCGATTGATCGGCTACTTTGGCAGCTCTATCAACGACGGGACGCGGGTAGAGCGCTCGCACGCGATTGTGCTGCCTGGTGGCAAGGTGGGCCAGATTGAGCACAACATCTCGCCGCAAGACAGCGTGCTGAAGGGTCTGGCATTTGTGAAGAGCCACACAATCGACATGACTGGCAAGCTGTAAGCGCCTATAGTCGAGTGTCAGGGGTGGAAGACGCCGTTGCGTTGGCAGTAGATTGGGTGGCTCACCGTGTTCATGAAGAGCAACAAATGTACTACAGGCTTTTGCCAATAGTCAGTCGTAAATGTGTTCCTGTTGAATCTCGTGGTAAACCTGTGCAATGTGGAACCAACCTAGTGTTTAGCCGCATTCGGAATGATGATGTCTCGCTGCTTGGGGTGGAAGATGCCCCCAATACTCCATTGCAACTCAGCTATGTTTCATCCGTTGGTTCCAACAGCATTCATCGAAAAGCTTCTGGGAACCAGAAACAGGTTTTCGATCGCTTGGTACGTCCAAACGTACGCATTGTAGCTCGGAGCTATTGATGACCTTTGCGTCCGCACTTCGGTTCGTGGGCATCGCAGGGGTAGCAAACAACGAATGCTTGAGTCAAACAACAGTCTCAATGATTCCATATGGCAGCGTGCTGTCTGTAGACAAGCACCGACTTAGTTGCAGCGGCCTCCATCGATCATCGCCATAAAGGCGCTGGCAGTGTATCGCGAGGTCGTTTTGGCGTCGCTAGCATATGTGAAGATAAGCAGCTGCGAGCTTGTCAATGCCAAGAAGTGCTATCCAATGACGAAAGCAGCCTGCAGTCGACACAATTCAGTTGAGCACCCGCGCGTAGTCAACGCTCCTCTGTCGAATTTACTTCACCTATGCCGGAAACGTCGGCATCAGTTCCTGTTGCTTCGGTGGAGGGGACTCTTGAAAGTATTCATGTGCCAGTGCATCTTTGGCTGAAATTCGCTCACGTGGACTAAGAGCTAGCATGCGGCTGAGCAGGTCGAACCCTGCTTTCGACAGCGAGCATCCACTTCCCGAGATCGTTGCAGCAAGCGGGAACTTCTCACGCAGTCGAGAATGTTTCGGCCACTTTCCACGTACACTGACGTTTGCATCAGGCACATCTTGGTCAACTCCCGGCCAATTCTGCTCGTTCGGTGCGCCTAGCAACTTGAAGATCTGATCCGTCTGGTCCAGTTCTCCGCGTCCAGTAAACAGCGGCTTCATCAGCAACATCTCGGCGAAAATGCACCCGATGGACCACATATCCACTGCCGTCGAGTACTTCTTAGCACCAAGAAGCAGTTCAGGTGCACGATACCACAATGTCACGACAAGTTGCGTGTACGTCCGCAGTGGCGACCCGTATTTGCGCGCAAGTCCAAAGTCACAGACCTTGAGCACGCCCCGCGCGTCGTACAGCAAGTTGCTCGTCTTGAGATCGCGATGGATGTACCAGCGATCGTGCATATAAGCCATAGCACTCAAGAGCTGCTGCAACAGGTACTTGACTTCGGACTGCAGCCACGGCGCCTTCATCTTGGTCTGCATCACGTGCTTGAGGTCGTTCTCGGCATAGTCCATGACCATATAGATCTTGTCCGGCGTCGAGCCAACGACCATTTCCCGCACTTGGACGATGTTTGGATGGTCCAGCGCCAGCAGCACGTTCGCCTCCCGCAAGGCCGTGATGGGGAAGCCTTCCTGACTGGCGTCCGCGCTCATTTTCACTTGTTTCAGTGCCACGACGTCGCCCGTTTCGGCGTCGCGCGCCTTTGACACGACGCCGTACGTTCCCTCGTCGATCTTTCCAATACGCGCATAGGAATCGACACTGCGACAGCCAAAGAGATAGAAATTGTGGCTCAATGGGGTTAGTGAACGAGCTGGCTGCACGTCTGGGACAGAGGCAGCAGCAGGTGACGCGGCCGTTGCGGGGACGACGGGAGGCGCACGGAGGAGTGAGCGCTGGGAGAGGCGGTGGCGCGAGGGCTGCTCGTCTTCCGAAGTCGAGTCGGAGTCCCAGCGGGTACGCTTGCCCATGTCGGGACAAATGGGTACACACAATGGTGGGTTGATTGCGAGAGCTGTGTCAGAAATGTGCGTTTTTGACACGAGCGGATACGATACTGCTTGGAGTATACTATTGTACTTTGTGTGTACTTTGACACGGTTTGGTACTTTGCAACATTAAGAGGCAGTGTCAGGCCACCAAAGTCAATATTTGTGAGATTTCACACAGACTGCGTCTGTGAACACTTCACAATGCTATTTGTGAAATGCATTTGGAATGTTTTCGGCTACCAAAAACCTTAGCGACGTCTGATAGAAACGATTGAGGAGCAAGCTCTGGAGCTCGCTCTTTGATATTAGTAATCCAGTTCGATAAACTGATCAAGTTGCAAACACTATACAACAGCAGGTGTCACTGAAGAAGGAGTATGATGCTGTTAATGGAACGGGGCACCTTTTGTCTGGATGCCACGAAACTTCACGTATACGTGCAGAGAGAGCAAATCTACTTGAAAGACTCGTTTAAGTAAAGGGTGTTTGTAGTGCACAAATTTTGAGATGTATAAATATTTTATTAGATTTATTTAATTACAGATATATACTATTCTATTTACTATTTATATATTTTTTTCATAATATACCCCCCTATCAATCATCCGATTGATCGTTTTCAAGGAGTTATAGAATTGACACCCCACAACAATCACTTACCAGAATTCAACACTCGTGAACGACTAGGGGATGTAGGTTACTACTAGTGAGATTGTTTATTTTTTGTTCATAAATAATGAGTTTTTGATTCTGATGAAGGAGATATGGGTTTTAAAATTATTAATCGAACGATTACACTATTGTCAAATATCAAAATTTTAGTTTTTGTAGACAATCACCACGACTATAGAGTGGTTACTAGTTGAGAGTTGAGCTTTCCGACACTAACAATTCTGGTGATCCAGATTTCCATCCGTCACATCCAGTCACCTGCCATGTTTGTTTGTATCGTGATAATCTAATATCCATTCGCAACCCGAGCTCCACTGTTACACTGTAGTAAAGATATTCCCACCTCTCGAAGACACGAACCATTTACCTTACGGAAACAACATCTTTGAGTTCTTAATCCTTTCCTGTATCATCTTTTCCTTCAATCTTCCATTAATTCTCTTTAGTTCGATAAACAAAATCAGCTGATCTATGAGACATTTCTTTATTTGACAAATATTTATAATTGACCTAGATGTGATTAAAGATCTTCAGAATGAGATATTATTTCAGATTTAACACAACCTCTACTTCTTAAGTCACATGTCATAATATTTGATATATATTTAATCGAGATATACTATGTTATATAGCTTCAGATCTTTTAAGTCAGATTTTATTTAAAATTTCCTTTATATATTTATCATCTTCGATTTTTTTTATAATTAAAAAAAAAAGAGAACTGTATTTGATATAGTTAAGCTATCAATATAACTTCAGTCTTTATCTAACTATACTAAATTACTTCGTCGTACGACGACAACCTGCTCACCGCTCATTGCACGCGTCTAGCAGCGATTGGTGGCAATCTATGGTTGAAATGTCTTATATCAACCAATCTTGGATCAGCGCATGAATATTTAAAGGAGGATAATATTCCTTTAATGTTATCCATCCCGGATAATATTGATAGAAAATTGTCATGCTAGACAATATCCCTAGTGACACCGTTTGGTGTCAATATTATGTAACAGGCTACCCCGTTACATTGCCCCCCCTTAAACATCAATCACCCGTTGATTAAATTAGAATTGATTGGGACAGGGTGACCACCGTTGGATCACTCTGTGAAAGGGAGTACTTGTTGGTCACATTTTATTCATTTGCCAATCCAACACCTGGTTTCGAAACCCATGCGAGTTGCTACTGCAGCAGCAAGAAAGGCGGCTGCACGCATGCGTGCAGCCTAAGAGTACTTCTCACGCCTCAGCAGCAGGTGACTCGTCGCCTGCTGCTTTGAACAGTCCACGTGGTGAGTCACCACGTGCGACAGTTACATTCGCTGCGTCTGCAGCGGGTACCGCGAATCGTAATCCGGATGAGTCTGAAATAGAGCTCATCTATTCTGGCGATTCGGATGATGCATTCGACTCGAAGGCGACACCTCGCGCCTCCGGATCACCCAGGGAGGATACTGCAAGAGCTAGATTTACTGACTCTGGTAAACGTGGTGGTATCATGTCCGAGATCTTCGGATCGAGCGATTGTTCCGACAAATCCTCGCCTCACGCGAGTCCATTGAACGATAGGACGCGTGGGGATGGTGGTGATGCTCCTATACATCACCACGAGCGAAGTAGTTCGCTAGAGCTCATGCTGATACCAATCAAGAGGCCAGGGACCGAAATGTTCTGCGCCACGCTCTTCAAGTGGAGTCTCCTTGGATGCCGTCATCCAAGGAGTGCGATCGAGTGGCCGGAATGACAACCGACCGGGATCGAATCCCTTTGTTCGATTGTAGGAAGATTTGCCTACCTAATTCCAGCACGGAAAGCATCCGTTTTGAGGAAGAATTCTTCACCGTTTAATTTTTAAACATCGGTGGTACAATGGCAGCCGTGTTCGAGACGGTAAGGCTTTGGTGCAAGGATGGAATGCCCTCATCCATAACATCGAGTGCATTGGCCGTGAGGCCTGGCTCGCCAAACTTGATGCAGCTCTCATCAGGTTTGAGAAAAGCACCCCGTCGGGGCGCGATACAAGTTGCACCGGCTTTCAAGAGAGTCAGGATTTCTCTGTCTCTCGTGGGGTGATTCGTGTCCAGGCTGCCTGGACAACTCGAATCGTGCCCCTAGGGAGGCCTACCTCCCTAATGATCCCTACTGGAGGCTGCGCATCTCTTTTGAGATGGCCGAAGGGATTGACACCTTGCAATCCCTGTACTCGCGTTCGGGTAGGTCATTTTTCCGACGGCCCTTCTTCGAACGCAGCGGGTGGGTCTAGTCATCCTTCTCGACGAGACCCAGGGCATCAAAAATCAGCTGGGCACGAGACTCCCGGCTGTCCCAAGCCAATGGATAGCCACGCCAGCGGACGAGGTAACTAGTCCGAACGCCATTCACGTCGCGGTGGGTCAAAATACGCTCCACCAGAAAGCGTTGACCACCGCCTGAGTCCACCAAAGAATGTGGTGGCGGCGGGAACACCTGATCCGGCTCGAGGGTCGGATCAGCTTGATGTTCAGGAGCTGAACCGTGTAACGAAACAATTGCAAGATGACCTGGCTCATGAACGGACTCGACGTTATGAGCTCCATGCTTTTGTAAAGAATAATTACAATTTTTAACGCACGATCGTTCGGACGATCGTGCCGCTTTTGCGTTCGCGCAACTTGAGAACAAACGTTCGACTCGTTCTCTTCGTGACGATCTGGCTGCAGCTCGTCAAGACATCACTCAACAGCGTGAGTAGGTCGCTTTGCTAGTTGACCAGACTGGCTCGTTGAAACGGGACCACTCGAAGATGGTCTTCTCCTCTCGAAACGGGCTCGTACTGATAGTACGGGCGGAGACGACTGACATAAAACGTAGGATGCGTGCGCATCTTACGGGGCAGTTTAATCGTGTATGCATTGCCCATTCGGCGCAACAAACGAAATGGACCGATGTACCTGGGCAGTAATTTACTGCTGCCCACGTTTGTCACTGTGTGTTCCAGGAGGTTTACTGTAGACAGTAAAGCTAAATCTGCTTCATCAAATGAAAGAACATTTGCTCTTTTATGTCTGTCTGCGTTTCTCTTCTGTCTGTCTATTGCATCTGCAATAGAGTTTTAAACGAAGCGGACAACCGCTTCGCGAGTCAGCAGAAATGCCTCTGCTGATTCATCCTTGTCAATAGCAGTACGCTTCGTGTGCACTGCTGAAAGAACTTTGTCTTCACCAGTGAGGGCGTCATCGTCCTCACTGTGGCAGTCATTGGCGATGCTGAATATACCAGCATCGTCGTCATCATCATCGATGTAAATTGCATCGACATCGGCATCCATCACGTCGACAGAATTGTTGACGGGTGATAAGCACATGCACAAGGAACCAGGTCGGTTTTGGTTCGAGTGAGTCTACTTCCCCTTAAAATCGAGTCACACTCTAAGAAGGCGGGTAAATGTGGATGGCGTAGGCCATTCACGAAGAACGGTGTATGCGTTGTCGACGCATGCACCGAGTTGTTGACGGCAAATTCCGCCATCGGCAAGAACTCACTCCAACTCTTAAACGAGTGGACATACCCTCTAAGTATCTCTTCGAGGACGCGGGTGACGCGTTCCGTCTGACCATCGGTTTCTGGATGGTTAGAAGTCGACATATTCAAACTTGTTAAAGTGAACGGAACACGAATTGCCCGAACTCCGCTGTGAAGCGGGGGTCTCTATCGGAAACAGATTCACGGGGTGACACGTGAAGTCGTAAGGTAGTATCGATGAAGACACACGCACAGCCCTGGGCTGTTATTGACTCCGGTACAGCAAAAAGATGTACCATCGTGCTGAACCGATCAACAAACCCAAGGATACCAGTATTCTTGTGAACGTCTTCGGGAAGCCCAAAGACGAAGTCAATCGATACGGACTGCCATCACTCTGCCGAAATCAGTAGAGGCTGCAAGGGTGCAAGGGACAAAAGACTAGGCTTGATTAATTGGCAAACTTCGCAAGCGCAAATGTATTTGCGCACAAACTCGTACTGGCGGGGCCAGTAGAAGTCACGACTTACGGTGAGGTAAGTCTTTTCTCTGCTGCGATGCCCACTTGTTGGGGCATCGCGACACTCATACATGATGTTCAATCGCAAATCATCATAAGCGGGAACGACGACACGAGGTGTGTCGCCGTTGACTACTGTATAGTACAGCAGTCCATCACAAACCGAATACCGTTCGGTTGAAGAGCGGTATTGATAAGACAAGCTTTTTAAAGCTTGACTGCATGTATTGGCTACATAATTTATCAAAAGCAGAAGAGACTCATCTTTTGCGTACGCTTTTTGCACG